TCAACCTTGGTAGGATGCCATTGACACTCGACGCTAGCTAGCTGCCGGTTCAAGATGGAGGTTTTCAAGGTGCCACTGATTTTATCTCGTGAGATGTTGGCCACGGTCCATTCCTCGTTATAAGGAAGAGGGGGTAGAGACGCAAGGGGGAATGAAAGTGTGTCTCTGTCAAAGGTGCCGGGAAAGACAATGAGATATTTGACTTGGTTTCCGATTCGCAGTCGGTATTCGCTTTCGCAGGAATCGTCACAGTCCACTGACATGGACAGAATGATCGGCTGCATTGGCGGGGTTGTAGTGTGATTGCCAGACATTATCGCCATTGGGCCACTCACTGTAAGACTATCAGCGGATGTGTCTGAAGAAAAGTCAAACTCAGGAAAAGATGTGGCGTTTTTACATTTATGCTTCGAGATTTCCTTTACCGTCGCTATGCCTCACTTTTTTTCCTGCTGAGAGGGGCGGTGTTTGACTGTTGGTGTGGCTCTCCAGCCGCAGTGGAGATCCCTCAGACTATCCTAGCATGTGACGGATCATTAGCCCAGGCAGCTCTAACAAGACGCGATAAGCGTAAAACCCAATAGGGCGCAGCAATTCCTCCCAACACCCTTAACTACTTAGGCAGCCGTTACTTCGGCTGTCTTTGCTCTCCAAAGTAGGACGAGGAGCTGGGTTGGCAAAAACGGACGGAGGTCAAGAACACAAGGTGGCGGCCATGACGAGCTGGCTCGGCGCTTATCCCGCCCGCATCGCCGGCCTGGTTCTCGTATCGGCTGGCTAAGCAGCCAACAATAGGTCTAGACACCTGCGGCCAACATCGCAGAGCCCCAAACTCCAGAACCAACATCGAAGTCTCCTAAACTCTAGAGTCAGCCTTGGGGCAACCGATGGTTTGACGGTTATAAATTGTGTCTCCTCGGGGCGACGTCTATATAGCAATGGCATCAGACTCAATTAATCAATCAATCTCGCCTTTCATTGCATCAGCGACAATCAAGTGTTCAGAACCCGCCCAGCCACCAACACCACCCAAGTTTCCTGATAGTGCAAGTTCAGCTTCGCTTCTACATCGGCCGTTAGTGTTCATCATTGGCAAACGTCTACAAGCCATCCGACTATCCAACATCGTAAGGACGTAGTCATCCCCCATATCTGAGCTCGGTCTAATTCGCGATATCGTATTAGTTAAAAAATGTGTACGTCCATGCGCATCAAGTATACGTGCAACTGCACGAAGGAGATGGAGTTCATCCAGTGCGAGCAGCACCGAGGAACCAACGTCAAATGCGCTCGCCCTGTAAAAAAAGTAGACAAGGTTTCAACCAACTACTGTCCAAGTCACCTAGTCAAGCCAGACGCGGCAGTGAAATACACAAACCAACGATAGACTGTAGGGGGGTAAAGCACGGCTAGTGGACTGCGGAGCTGCATTGAGATGGGGGATTGTAGGTTGGATAGTCTGGGGATTTGTTCGCTTTCTGGGTGCTTTCTACTTGGACACTTGGTAGATAGCTTGGCTGCAATACATTGGTGAATACTTGTTTTTACATGGTGGGGTCGCAAATGGAATAAGGGCATATAAGGGTAATCCGCTGGACTGTGTAGACCTACCTAGACACTTAACCCCATATCCATACAACTATAGCTTGCTAGAGCACTCGCTGGCCAAGCAATACATTCATTAAAACCCCGACTAGGTTGCCTCAACATCCTTGTTATTCTCCATTGCTGAAGTAGCCTCGCCTCCGAGCAAGCTCCGGTAGCTCGGGTGGCTGCTTGCTACCTTCGTCACTCGATTCCCACAGGAGCTGTGCCTGTTCACACCATCGAAAATGGTCCAAAAAGCCATCTTGCGCATATGCCTTGTCGCGAGCCTCGTACGCCCACGTCTCACCCCTGTAGCCGATGATGCCTTTCTCGAGGGCGAGTTGACACCCAGCGCACGACATTCCGTATTCGACTCTATCGGTTCGTTTATCATAATAAGGAAGTGCACACGATCCCATGAAGTTGAATTTTTGATTTCGTCCTGAGTCCGCTAGCTGTGCCTGTGCTTGTGCTTGTGCTAGTGCTAGTGCATGTGGTTGCTGCCTGAAAACCAATATGACCTGATGGACAGAAACGACGGCAACGCGGGATTTGTATACGGATTCATCCATCGTGTATACCCCAGGTAAAGTCTTGAATGACGTCAATTGGTCTAATTCGACCTTGGTTAGGCGGAATTTCTTCCGGGCGGAGGCAAGAGATTGTACTTGGGTTTCCGGAGCTACTTGAAGGCATTGAAAACAGCATCGATCCCAGGTTAGGAGGGATATGAATCCGCCGAATTCGCCGCAAAGAGTACAATTCTTGGTGCATAGCGCGTGGTAAAAGTCGAGCAGAGAAACGCCGATAGCAAGTCGTGTCCGCAATAAGGCGCATAGAAGATTCAGTCCATGTGAGACCACCACCCGATATTGCTTGAGAGAGTCTACCATCTCTCTCGATCTGAGATTGGTTTGCCGGAAGCTGAATAGAGAACGCATATCCAGACGTAAGAACACGTCATGCAAGAGCTCGAGGGGTAGCCGATCGAGTGAGCCGAGTCCCGTATTCGAAGTCCGCGGGAAGGGTGCGGCTAGCGACAGACGAATACCCTCGTGTTCGCGAGGCGAGAACCATATCACGGAGAGGCCGAAGTCTCTGCGATGGTAGGTGGCGACTCGAACAATGGCGTCGGCCTGTTCCTCACGGAAATGGTACTCGGAGGCGGAGCGATATCCGCGAGGCATAACAGGAGCAGCCATTCTCGACGTTTATCGGAGGCGCAGATCTCACTCAGTAAACCTTGTTAGTAGACAACGATCCCGATGATAGGGCGCTCAATCGCGTTTGTATACCGCCTAACATGGACATACTGTAGTCTACACGTCTTGTCAAACTCGGCAAGTAATGATTGTGAATCATTGGGGGGCTGGTGACAGCAGCATAAATTCCATGTGCGCAGATGCGAGGGTTGCGCGGCAATTCGTGAAATGAAAGGGTGAGGTTGGCAGCGAAAGCGGGGGGAGGGCACAAACGAGTAGGTACTATATGTGAAGTCAAGAGTACCTACCAACAAGAAGAGACGTCGCGGTTAACAGGGCGCTATTGATGCTGACGCGACATGTCATGTTAGGGCACGGCAGGCGGCTCCGTGACAGAGAACGTTGTGGGGCCTGAGTGCGGCCTGTGCTGAGCCACACGGCATCAAGCATGGTGAGGCCGCAGCCCGGGATCCCGGAGTGCCGTGGTACCCCGAAGCAGTATTCGGAATGAAAAGAGGAAGAGAAGCCAAGTGCAGTGGTCTTTAACATTGCCTTACATAATCTGACGGTTTTTATCTTATCAGATAGGTGACTGCATTTAAAAGTGTCTATCTCTTACCTGGCTGTATTAGAAGGATTTGAGGAATGAAATGTTGCTTTCATGAGTGCGATTCGATAATATGACCTGTGGATGTCTAAGATAAGTATTTCACAGTTACAATCCCAACACGCTACCAACTGCGTATCGATACTGTCGTTTAAACGCCTCTCTAATGCGCAGCTACTGGGCGAGCTTTGCGCTTACTGCTACAACTCCTAGATAGGCCCAGGTTGCTCATCCTGAAAATCGATATCCTCGTGCTCCTATCTAACTGATCACACCGCCCACACCACCAGGAGCCTATCTACAGAAATACTCCAGACAAGCGAGATGTTCTGATTGATGCTGTTAGAACTTACGGTCGTCGGGTCATTGCCTGTCTCTGATAGGACCGTTCCTTATCTGCACCAAACTGGGCAGGAGACAAGCCTTTGACATGGAGTCGAGCTAAAATTAGGGAATAAGACGCTGCAGCTAACCCTACCGACTTGCTTGCCAAGCAGTGTCAACGTCTCGCATCTTATCGAGATTTTCAGTCACGTGGATGCTTACATAGATGAACATGATTGCTTAAAACTACAAACCAGCTTGCGTAAGGTATATGATAAAAAACCGTGATTAGTACTAATAGGATCAAAAAGTTGGCCTGCCATGGACAAGACGACTACTTCTTTCAAATAGTATAGTTACATGCGATATTATATTCTTAAATACTTATGATTCTGTGACAATAAACTATACCGTGAACCGTACTCTGAGATGTGCGATACATTATGTATGCACACGACGGGATCATGGTTCGCCAGAGTTGATAGCACCTCTGCCTTGAAAAGTCGAGTTAGGGTTAGAGATATGGCCTCCTGGCGACTGTATCTTCCTACTCAATATTTATACAGGCGAGAGCCACACCATTGGATAGCGACTTGCTTGAAGTTGTCTTAGTGCTGGGACTTCATATAACGCGCTGGGATGCTAGCGGATGCGGTCTTATACCGTATTCCTATATACATGGTAGTTATTTCTTTTCCAGGTTATATGGCGGAAATTATAATCGAGAAATTTTGCTTAATAGAGCGCCATACGATAGATAATTAGTAGGTTTATTGCATGGATTGAGACTTAGGTTTTGAGGTCTTATATTGAGTTCTTCATACTATGAGTTAAATTCCCGAATAAGTCAGTTATGAGGAGGGTATCAATAGATTCTTATGCTTTGATGAGCGATGATGCTTTTTATTCTAGTATGAACTTACGTTCCTATAAGTATTTTAGCATTGATGAAACGAGGCAAGGTTCGCAAGCCTCCCTTCTTATTTTCTGGTTTTGCTGTATCGTATTTGTAAGTATGACTATGGAAAAAAAACATATATATTAAAGTTGTTGGGAAATCCGTACTAGACACACACCATTCCTATCTCTATTAGTAACCCAAGATATAGACGATACGGGCATGATGAGGCCGACCGCATACCAACGTTGTCGACAATGACTCTATGTCTGCGTAACGCTGTTTTGCTATCCTAACAGTTCTTCGTTGCTCAGTCGTTAATAGTTGTCTGCTTTCGTCATAAGCTGTTATGTAGAGTGCCGCCTTCACCAACCAATAGCATCTCCCGATAGCTCAGTTGGTAGAGCGATGGACTGTAATTGAAAAATCATCTTCTAGAAAATCCACAGGTCGTGTGTTCGAATCACACTCGGGAGAGATGTCGAATTTTTGTTATTTCTTCATTTTTTCTGCTCTTGGTGAAGCTAGTTTAGTGGTTGGTGGTGTTTTTTAGTCTAGTGGATCTTTGCGTGCATAGTTTGTTTGTTTGCTATAATCATTCATGCTTTTGTTTTGATATATATTTTTTTTGGTTCTGCTTACTTATTCAATTGACCGGTTGGATCCGGTGAGCATACTCATGTAGAGAGGAAACCGTTATCATATCGGCCGAGATCGATCAGCATAGGTGGGATGTGGATCCAGGCACAGCATGTTGTATGACACCGGAATTTTCGGATTTACTCGAAAGAAACGCCCGATGCGTGAAGTGGTGAGATTCTTATGCGACGTGATCCTTGTGGCGTCGATGGTAGCGCGGTGTATAGAATGAAATGATCCGAGTGAGAATATCTAAACGACGTGCGCAGCTTTAGTAAAGGCCAATGCTGTTTTCTGTCGAACATAGCCTCTGCCTCTTGTTAGCCCAGTCACTGCTGACTAAATACCTAAATCTCGCTATTAGCCAACTCACCGTACTTTCTCTTGCCCTTGTAAAGAACGGATCTGTCTACAGCACGATGAAACTTCTCTCTATTCTTTATTTGTTAGGTATGAATTCCCTGTAGTCAGGGGAAAGCCCCCCTTTAACCGCTAGCTTACATATCCGTGCAAGAGGATATTCAATCGATCGCGTTTACTTACCAATGACCGCATCGCGTTGTGTAAATTCCAGAATTCCGGAGCGCTAGATAGCCGCCAAGAACAGAACCTTGTATAGGATTGCGGCTAACTGGGTCGAGAGTCTTGCTGGTAACTGTTTACGGTTTATGATCAAATAGGCTACCTATGGGAACCCGCTACCTAGGTGCCGAGAATTAGGTACTTGGTGGCTGCGCGCGGGGTGCACTGTAGCAAGACTTGTTTTCAGTGTAAATCTTCCTATTTAGGTCGTCTCATTAAAGGCTTAATTAGGACCTATGTCAGATACTTATCTATTGACGCCTAACAAATTAAGGTTTACCGTTCCATGGTCTAGGTAGATACGTTACAGTGCTTGGATGATCTCTGATGCATAGCCGGCAGTGCCATCCCCTACCCCGGACAGACAACCCAGATATGAAATGGCTAGCTCCTCTACACCGTATGATGATTGGTCTGATCAAAAATGTCACAGATGACGCTAATCTAAATCAGCATTAGTTACCTATTTAGGACCCTGCCTGATCACTTCATGATATTTGGTTGGATCTTGGGATGTACCGCAGAATTAAGTCCGAATCTGTGGCATCTCTTAAGTAGATACTTACTTAACTCAACTGACTGGTATGTTCAACATTATTTTTAACGAACTACCGGTTTTCTCGAGTCTTAGTTTGACCTTAGGTTCTACTCTGTGCGTTTATGATTGTCGCAAGAGAGTAACTCCTGCAATGATGAAGCTTGTGTGCGTGTGTATAAGTATCGCTTAGTGTTGCGGAAGAAAAGGAAGTGATTTCCCGAGATAGGCGCCGGTCGGGCCGGGGACTTTTCTGGACATAATTGTCACGGACAACTTTCTGTTCAACTCCCCTTTAGCACATATGGGCCAGGTTGTTTAGTGCTCACATAGAGGGCATATAACTCGTTCACTGCGTCAACGCGGCACAGCCGAACTTCTTCTTGTCAGCATTAACGGACATGGCGAGTAAGCATACTTACCTAATATCGTAATGATGGGTTTGAGGCAGTAGGAAGTATTTGCTAGATAGATAAAAGACTTAGGAATATTATTTAAGCTATGACTACCGTCCTTCGCTGCCTAGGTGTGTACTGTTCAAGTTGGCAGGACATTGTTCATCCCTGTTGTGTGAACGATTAGGAGCTACGATGACAACCCTAGCAAGATTATGCATTCTACTTTCAACTGCGGTGCTTTCAGCATCTTCGGCGCCCACGAAGAATAGTAGTGACCTGTTTACCCTACCGAATGCTGACCCTAACTATAAGGCAAGAGCCGCTACCATCGAAACGAAACGGAAAGGCTGGCTGTACGAAGAATACCCAATTGGAGGCGCTTTCTATCCTACTGGGACACTTGCAAACCAGACAATATCAGCACAACAAGCACAATGGTTCCCTATCGTAGTAGAGCATGCCCAGGTGATTGCAAAAGAATCGGTATCTGCCTTGGCGGGGATCATTGCGGTAGGCGAGCTCAACCCGGCAACTAACTCTTGCTAATCGAAGCTATAGGCAGGTAACTTCTCAACACTAGACGATTATGCCAATACATACAACAACCAATGGAACATGTCTCTTCCTCGCGGGCCAATGCTAGGCATGCTCACGAACTACACCGACGACCGGTTGTTTTCAATGATGAGACTGGTAAGGGAGAATAATTCCCATGTTTTTCTTAGCTTGGGGTCATGATACATATGTTCGACACTACACCTTCTTACGTGGAGAGTGCTTCTAACTGGGAATGTTTAGTCTGCAACACCATACAAGATACAACGTGTCCAACGTCATGACAGTTTGCTTTTCCCAGTCGAGAATGCCGCTTCGATCACGGGCGGACTTTCTCTCCAAGATCTCCGTGCTCAAGGCCGGCTCTTTTCTACCGACTTTAGTAACTTAAAGGTATGTTCTAACTTATCTTCAACTTTTCCTTTTACCTCCCCTCTCGTTAATACTATTCGGAACTAACTTTTTATATAGTAAGTAATTCTTTTGTGTATTGCGTCTCTACAAGACTACCACTAGAAGTAATCCGAGACTGCACCTCTTTTCTTGAGCGACATATTAGTACTCTACATGTCGGTGCACTAGTGCTTCATGTTCCTTCCTATGGGCCTTACTTTCGTGTCCTACACCCCTGAAAATCCCGAGAACCTTAATGGACTTCGTCATTGAGGAGCGTTACTAACTTCAAGTTTCTCAATAGGGATTTACCTTCGAGTGGAAAGTACGGAGCCGGATGCCAGGCCTACTTCTACATAAACCGGTCGGGCGACTTCCTCCCTCTAGCCGTTAAACCAATTGTCAAGGGTCGAGAGAAATCGGCTCTTGTATACACGCCACAGGATGAGCCTGCGGATTGGTTACTTGCTAAGATGCTGTTGAATCAAAACGACGGCTACCACTCAACATGGGCGCACGTCGGCCAGTCACACTCGGCTGCAGAAGCTCCCTATCTCGCTGCGATTCGGAGTCTCAGTAACGACCATCCAGTTATGGGTATTCTCAACAGGAGTAAGTCGTGCACTCCATTTCGCTACTTTAAAGCGACTCTTCTAATAGCAACTGAATAGTTGAGAAAACACCCTGGGGCGTCCGTCCTAATCTAGAAAACGGCCTCGAAACAGGAACAGCCTTCACTGGCCCTCAATACTACCCATGGTCTCCCGACGCCGCGCGCGAATATGTAAACCAGTTATACCTGTCTGGAGAATCAGCTTCCTTCAAAGGGAATTACTACCGCTCAAACTTCAAGAAGCGCGGCTTAATCGACAGCTCTTTCGGGCCGAAGCTCAAGTCCTTCCCATTCTACGAAGACACGAGCGTCGTGACCGAGTCGATTCGAGAGTTCATCTCAACATTCATCAACTCATACTATCCCAACGACAAGGCCGTAGCTAAGGATATAGAGCTGCAGGCCTGGCATCGCGAGACCAAGGCCGCGCGGGTCTACGACTTCCCGGCTATCCAGACACGACAGGCAATCACCGACATCCTCACACACCAAGCTTACCTCAGCGTTATCGTGAGCAACGTGATGAGCACGAACGGCATCCATCTGAATTCGATGTCTCTCCCCTTCGCGCCAGCCGGGTTCCTGCAGCCTATCCCGTCTAAAAAGGGGCTAACGGAGAAGGATCTAAGTACGTACTCCCCAAGAATGAATCGAGAATTTAGTATAGACCCCAGTTTCTAACATGCGACCTCATAGTGGCCTTCATGCCGACCCCAGAAGGCGCAGTCTGGCAGGTCTCGACGTACGTAGTTGGCCATCGCCCCATGTGGCGCGACACCAACGAGACGCTCTCGCATCTCTTCGACAGCGACGACTTGCTCGCAAGAACGAACGCGAAGACGCAGGCTGCCGCTGCTAAGTTTAAGGCTACTATGATGGATTTTAGCGCCGAGGTCCGCGCGCGCACGTTTGATGAGAACGGGCTTAATCGCGGTATGCCCTTTTTGTGGGATGCTCTAGATCCTAACTACGCGCCGTACTGGAGTGTTATCTAGAGAGGATAAAAGGCTACGCGGCGGGATACCAGTAATGGCCGCTAGAATAGAAAGAATAGATGCGAGAAGACGATTGAGATTGGGTAAATTATAGTGTTTGGGCGCGTTAGCCGCAGGATCTGATGTTGGGATACCTATACACCGCACTGCATAGACCTATAGCTATTTTACATATTTACACAAATTACTAGACATGCCTACAGGGGAAATACAATAACTATTGTAATAGCAATTTATCTGCGTCCAGTATCGTCAGTGTGCCTTTATTCATGTCAAAGCATGTAAGTAAAGCTGCCCTTGTGAGTCTTCTCTGTCAGGGGGTTGTCACGTTTTAAGGAGAGGGTGCATCACGATGAAGTGGTAACGAGAAGTATAGAGCTCAGTCTGATAACATCAGTGCGCCAGGGGTCGGCTGCATAGTGCAGCCTATAACATCAGAGCCAGGAAGACGTATTTACTGCGATTTGATGACATAAAGTTATATGACGACCAGTATTCATAGTATTCATGAGCGTGTCTATATAGTACCAAGTTTATCTCGTGGCGTTTTTTCTAGTTTAGAGCGGTAAATAGCATCAAAGTGTAGAGTTCAGACTGCATTCGCCTGATCGTTACTTGGTTCTCTAGCGTTCTAACATCGCGCTAGGCTTACATTACATCGAGACTCTGCCCAAGTAAGAAACTGATCATGCGCCCTCAATATACGTAACTAGACCTCAAGACCTGGTCTATATCTTCTAATACTATGATTCAAGACGCCGCTCGTT